GGAGGGCATTGTGCCTGTTCTCAAGTAGCTCGGAATGCAGGGTGGGGTCAGGAGAGACTGTCGATTGAGCACAGTGCGGCAAACCCAGGCCGCTCTGTGAGCCCGAGCAGTTCGGAAGGCTCCCAACTAGGACCGAAGCGTGAAGGAGTAAAACCACGAGGTGAGTGTTGGTCAGGGGCTGCCAGTTGGAGAGGTGGAGAGGTCGTGAAGGGCCATGACCTTCCCTCAGAGGAATAACAGTGCATTCATTCCCCCGTGTCAGCTCAGAGCCTTTTTGTGTGTTGGGTACTCTTCTACGCACTTGGGATACTTTAGTGAACAAAATAAACATAAACGCCTGTCCTCAAGGAGCTTATGTTTTACTTGGAAGAGAGAAACCCTGAGCACTAAGAGGTGTGTTAGGTCAGTAAAGGAATAGGGGAAAAGGGCCCAGCCAGGTGAGTAACATGAGCAGTAGTAGTAAGTCATGTTGACAGTGTCAACCTGGATATGACAAGAATGGTTTTACCTCTCAAAACATAGAGCCCTAGTCCAGTCAGGAGAAAAACATCAAAATAATCCGTTGACCAGTAGTCATCAAAACTGTAAGTTCATCAAACACAAGGAAGTCTCTTGTCATAGCCAAGAGGAGGCGAAAGAGACATGAGAACTGAAAGTCATGCGGTATCCTGGATGGGATCCTAGAACAGTAAAAAGATAGTAGGGGAAAATGGAGGAAATCACAACAAATCACCTAACAACAATGCATCAACATTGGTACATTAATTGTGATAAAATGTACCAGACTAATGTAAGCTGTTACATGGAGGAAACTAGATGTGGGGTGTATGGGAATGCACTGTACTATCTTTGCAATAATTCCATAAATCTAAAACTGTTCTAAAATTAAAAGTTTATTTAAAAAGAAAAAGGCAGAATAAGGGGACTGAGAACTCCAGGGCAGAGATATGTGTTAAAATTTTAAATAGGGTGGTCAGGATAGGCCTCATTGAAAAGGTGCCATGAACAATTATTTAAGGAAAGAGTTGGCCAGTTGACATCTGGGGAATAGCCAAGGCAAAGACCCTGAGGTGAGATGTGTCAGCAAGTTTGAGAACCAGCAGGAGGCCAGTGTGGCCAGATGGGAGGGAAGGTGGAGGGCAGAGGGAGCATGAGGTCATAGAGGAAGGATGATGGTGCTGACCGGGCAGCGAGAGGCTTTTTAGGCTTGTTGCTCGTGTACCCTGTGCCAAGAACCAGGCCACCTATTGCCTTGTTCAATTCTCTCAACTGTCCTAGGAGAGAGGTATTACTCACTTGTTGATTCTGCAAATGAGAAAACTGGGAAGAGAAAGGTTAAGTAACTTATTGAGGTCCCCTTCCTCCTGAGCCCCAGAGTTGTCTCTGCTGACCTGTGCCTCTTCTTCGGAGGCTGGACTCCATCGTCTAGGCCACAGGGGTAGAAATTTAATCTCTTTTGTTCACTGTTGTATCATCAATGCCTAGAACACAGTCGCTGCTTCAGAAAACATGTATGGAATGAATAGATCACTGCTACTCTCAATAACTCTTTTTATCTATTTAATTTGTACTGTGCAAATACAGGCAAAGACTTGGATTTGTCACACTGGTCTGTTAATTCATTTATTACACTACTAGAGGCTCGGTGCATGAAAATTTGTGCACTGGGGGAGGGGGGTCCCTCAGCCCGGTCTGCCCCCTCTCACAGTCCGGGAGCCCTCAGGGGATGTCCTACTGTGGGGAACAGGCGCAGGGAGCAGGCCTAAGCTGCAGTTTGGCCTCCCTCTGCAGGAGGTGACCTGCCAGCCAGCCGATCAGGGGAAGGCGCCACCCCCATCATCCCACTGCTGCTGCCACTGGCCACCACAGCTGCCTGTCCTCGGCCCTTGCAGCCACTGTGGCTTTGTCTGGAAGGATGTCCAGCTGTCTGGTCTAATTAGCATATTATACTTTTATTATTATAGAATTACTGATTTGGGGTGGGGCTGTTGTTAAAGCAGTAGTTGTCTTTATTGTTTATTGCTAGAGATAATCATGATGTGGTGCGGGCTGTAAATCAGAGGTACTGACAACAAAGCAAAAAGGAGAAAAAGAAACAATGTCAAATGATTCTAAAGATAGCCAGTCAAAAAATTCACTCATTCGTTCAACAAATATTTATTGAGCTGCAATTGTGTCTGGGGGTCCAAGCGTGAACAAAATAGACAGTGCTGCCCGAGGGGATGTTGACATTGAAACTGTGATGTGTGTAACTTACGGAAGTACAGGTGCCATGGAAACCTAAACAAGGACTTTAACTTAGTCTGGGACACTAGAGAACGCCTCCCTGCGGAAGTGATGAGTCCTGATTATTGGTTGCTGTGTGACATACTACTCCCAAACTTCGTGCCACAATTTATCACCCTCATGGTTCTGGGTTAACTGGGCTCGGCTGGAAAAACCTCATTTGGGATCTCCTATGCGTTATAGTTAGATACCGACTGGGGCTGGAATCCTTGGAAAACCCACTGGGCTCTCATCCAAGATGGTTTCTTCACATGCATGTCTGGTGCCTGTGCTTTAATATGTGGCCTGTGTCTACTGTCTGTTTCTGTCTATCAAGGCATTTTAAAAAATAAATAAATTTTTTTTTATTTCAAAGAGGAAGGTAGAGGAAGAGAGAGAAAGAAACATTAATGATGAGAGAGAATCATCGATCAGCTGTCTCCTGCATGCCCCCCACTGGGGATCAAGCCCACAACCCGGGCATGTGCCCTTGACCGGAATCGAACCTGGGACCCTTCAGTCCGCAGGCTGATGCTCTATCCACTGAGCCAAACCAACTAGAGCCATTTTTTTAAAACTTATTTTCTTAGGTGCATCATGATAGACCGAGCCTCTTTAGGACGAGAGGTGTGTCTTATTCATCTTTCCATCTTTAGTGTCTTGATTCTGGTGTGACCTTATTAAGTGATGAAAGGAGGAGAGAGGAGTGATTTCCAGGATGCCGTGTTAAACAGCACAGCATTGAAATGGTTTTAAAGTTGAATTGCTACTACCCTTTCATGAGGATTAAGTGAGGCAATGCATACAGAAGTGTCCATGGGATCTCTCACTCTCTCTGTACCGCAATGGCTCCTGTGAAAGGTGGGGGTCGAAAGCATGATCTCAAAGGCCTATGGTTAGTTTAGAACATGTGGGATAGAAGTGTTCCCCAACCCAGGAGTGCTGGCCGTCAGTGGCTTTTGCTTCTCACCAGTCTATGAATGCTCTTCTCACAAGCAAAGAGCACAAAGGGTATGCTCCTTGATATTTTGATTAGAACAAGAAAGGAAGGAAGGAAGGAAGGAAGGAAGGAAGGAAGGAAGGAAGGAAGGAAGGAAGGAAAGAAGGAAGGAAAAGAATTACTTTGAAGGTATTTACTCTCTAGTGTGATTAAAGAACTTGATACTGAATTGTAAGCACTGGGTAAGAAAAGGAGCATCCATAATATACTAGTAATCTTAGAGGAATAACTTAGTGCTCTCTGCACCTTGGTGCCTATTGTATAAAATGGAAAACGTATTTTGTTGTTATATTTATTTGAAATTATAGTAAAGAAAGAACTAAAAGCTTTAAGATTTATTATGTATTTCTTTTTTTAGCCTCTCACACAAGATAAAACTGAAAACAAAACCCCACGTTTCAGAATTACAGAAGTAGTGAAACCCTGTTGCATAGTTCAGGGGGCTCCAGTCCTCTTGGAGACATGGGAAGCAAAACCGTGTCTGCAGTTAGAAAAATATAACCGCTTTCATCTCCAAACCTTCAATCTGTGCCTTGCTTCATGAGTGATGGCAAATAAATATCAAAATATAAAAGTAGACAAATTCACTGTCATTATCGATTTACAAGGTTAACCACAGAGTTCGGTGAACTCCAAACCTCCTTGATACATTTAAAATAAAGGGCTGTAATACTAGTTTTGTTTACATACAGTAAGCAATGTAGATTGGTGTTGTTGATTGAAATGTAACGGTTTAATGACCTAAGTGCTAAAAGTGGTTTTAATTAACCATAAAATGGTGCCTTTTTAAAAAAGAAAACACATCTATGTACTTTTGAAGCAGCTTGCAAAGGAGTTGTAATTGCTTAATTTTACCTATTTGTAAGTAGGTGGTGGTGGTGGTGGTGGTGGGGGAGCTCTTGCCTCGTTTTGTTTTTTGGCAAAAATACAAAGGTATATGTGGCTATTGAGTACATGAAATGTGGCTAGTTTGATTGAGGCACTTTATTTGGTTTTAATAAACTGAAATAGCCATGTATGGCTAGTGCCTGCTGTAGAGGACAGCTCACTGTCAAGGTCTGCTCTAATTTGCCCTGGTCCTGGAGGTCTACGGTTTCCCAGAGAGAGTGAGTTAGTGCTAGGATTCATTCTTCTCTGCCCAGAGGCTGGCCCTGTCCTCCTAGGCCAGTCCTCACAGCCTCTTTCCAGGAGGACTGGAGGAATTCTGAAGTCCAGAGTCATCATTCGGTACTACATAATCTAAACCTAGGAACCACAGCGCAGGTACATTCAGGTTTAATGAAAGGACAGATTCTCCCTCTCTACTTCCCTCTTGTGCCTTTAAACCTAACAAATTATCAGTGCTTTCAAGGTTTGTGAAAGGACTCATGCATTTATGACTTGCAGACTGATTACCATAGAGGCCCAGTCAGAGAATTCCTAGTCTTTTTTGCTTACTATTTTAGGTCAACATATCACAGAGATTTGCCAGGGCAGGCTTTTCACAATTGCTCTCAAAGGCTTCTCTGTGTGAGTAAAAGCTATTGACCTTAATTCCCCTTATCAGGAGTTCCACTCGGCTCTGTGTAAGTTCGAATACAAAGCGGGGAGTGATGTGGAACTTGACAGTGGACCTTCTGTGTAGGTGTTGTGCACCTTTGGGCGGGAAAGATGGGGAAGTAATTGGGCAGATTTGTATACTACAGAATACAGTGAACTATGTGTCAACGTTGTCCTTTTTATTATTTTCTTCCAGGTAATGGAAGATTGCCATGGCACTGCTTTGACAAGCACTTCCTGTTGTCTTTACAGAGATCTCACTGAAGAATAATCCCAAAGGAACATTTGTCTCCCGGCACCTTTGTTATTGGCCATTCTCAGCTTTTAGTGACTGGGAAAACACCAACCACCCTTATGCTTGGCCTGTTCCAGGCAGCGGATGAGGTTCCTTCCAGTGGTCCCCAGAACTCTGTTGCCCAGAGCATCTCTCTGTTGGGCAAATGTTCATGAAGCCGTTCCCTGAGCCAGTGTGGGAGGCAGAGGCCTCTTAGAGCCTGCAACATGGAAGCTTTGGAAGTGGATGATATCAGCCCGGCCCTGGAGGTTACTGAAGATTTCTTCAGTACTTTTGACAGTAAACTAGAGAAGGCTGTTCAGCAAGCAGAGGTTTATGGGATCCAGGAAGTCCCTGAACTGGTGGGGCACGAGGTACTCAGTAACATAACAGACAATGGTGCTATCAGAAATGTTGCCTCCCTAGGCGAGGGGGGCATGCTTTGGGACCACTGTCAGACCCGGTTCTTAGAAACCAAAGTTCAAAATGTCTTCCCCGCCAAAGAACAGTTTATGGTCCAGAAAGGGACGGCCCCAGATAATCTCTCCTGGATGGAACAAAAGGAAGCATCAACCTTTAATTTTTTCAACATCTGTCAGCGTCGGAGGGACAGACCTCGTTCTGTGAATGACTTGTTGGATGAGACCACTACCTTTAAGCCAGGGCATGCTCGATCAAGGTCAGATGTTACCCAGGTGGACTGGAGGGTGATCCTCCAGACCACGCCTTTGCAGCAGCAGCCGCAGCAACCATCTCTTCGGGGCCCTCACTTCACCAGGCCGTCCTTCCTGTCGCCCTCACCAAATAAGATAGAAGATGCTCAAGGAAATACTGGTATGTTTTTATATCTGAACAACTGCCGATTTTCCGTTGTGTCTTTTACGTTTGCTCAGGAGAATCTTATCCTCCAGTATCCATGTCTGGCTATGCTTACTTAAGCTTTCGCTTCCATTTACGTTCACACTTTATCCTACTTCAAGTCTATAGTCTTATCTTCACGGGAGGGACTGAGCGAAAGGACAACTCTGGTGAATTCTTCCTTTCTAGTCTTGTATGTGAGAATCAGCTCTCATAGTGAATGGAGCATTTTTCCTTTGAACATTTATGATACTGTTTCTTCACTTCAGGAGATGTTCATCAGATCACACCTTGGGTGCAGCCTTGTGCTGTGAAAGAGTTAAAGGTGTGTGAAGACGCAATCCCTGCCATAAAGAACTTCTCCTTTAGCTGAGGGGTTCAGACACAAAGACTCAAGAAGGCACCCAGTAGTGAGAGAAAGTAGATGGTCCACTGGAATGTTTCCGAGGGAACTTCTGTTTTCCTCTCTATTGTTGGGATTCTTTGGATGAGTGAGTGACAGCGACTGAAAGAGCATGGAGAAAGGAGAAAACTCCCTAGGCTGGGCTGGTCAGGAAGGGCTTGGGAGAGGCATGGAACTTGAGCTGGACCTTGAAGGACACGAAGATGCAGAAAGGGTCTCAGTAGAGGACACCTGGTCAGGATTATGGTATGAGAAAGGGGAAGAGATGGGAGGTGCAGAGACATCAAGTCAACCCTTGTGAGGGGAGCAAATGGTCCCATGGCGGACAGAGGGAGGAAAAGGTTGGAGAGGTTTGTTAAGATTTCATAGTGTAGAACCTTGAATTTATTTTTTCCCCATACTTTATACACATACATGCACTCATATACTGTATATACATATAGTCATGTACTCACACATGAATTTCCTCTTCTGTGAGACATGGTAAACCATCTCTCTGTTTCCCTCAGCATTTTCTCTCAAGATAACCTCTTTTGTATAGGATACCCATTTTTTTTTTAACTGATGATTCTTCAGTTACCCTGCTTAACTCTTAATTTAGATTGAGCTGCTCAATTAACTGGGGAGACTAATTTATCTACTTACCTGCTATTTTAGTGTTACTTCAATCCTCTACCATTGCTTGGTATTCCGTTGGTACATTTAACATTATAATAATAAAACTTAGTTTATAAGTGCAACTTGAGGCAAGGATATAATTTAGTGTCTGTTAAGGAAAGGCAGCATTCCCGTCTGTAAGGTGCTGCCTTATTTTTATATCCAGTTCAGATCCATCCTTTTAGATACTTTTCTCAAATTTATGACTTGTGATTTCTCCTACTTTCACCAGTCCTCCGTAACATCTAGCCAAGGGTGGAGACCATGGGAGTAAGAAGAAAAGGACATTGTAAAGCACAGCATGTGGTAACTGATTAGACATTAGGGACAAACAAGTTTCAGGGACCCCAGTGCCTGGAGAATGAGAGCTCTGCCTTGAGTCCAAGTACAAACAGGTGTGCTCCTTGATTAGCAGTCAACCTCTGTTGTTTTTGGTTTCTTAGAGTTTACATAGATTTTTATGACTGTATCATCATAACCATTCTAAATCCCTGGTACAACCAAAGTTAAAAGGTGTCATGTTTCCAGTTTTATTTTTCCTATCTTGTTCGGATTGTAAATGCAAGAACCAGACCTTCTTTAGAGTCTCTCTTTAGTATATTACGATTTTTTTTAATTCTCAATTTTAAAAAGTTGAGTATTAAATGATGTTGAAATGTAAGTACTGAATGGTGTTCTGAAAAATTAACTGTAACAAATGGCCTTTGCAGATATTAATATAACCTAACCTGGCCACCTTTGTGTTGTCCATGAGATAGCAGAGAGCCGCAAAGTTGGGCAAATTCTGATGCTTTTTCTTTCTGGCATCGGAAGAGCAAGCAGGCCAAGCCATGTTTTTATTACTAACCTGGTAAAAGGCAGGGGTGAGCAGTGAGTGCCCACGGCCACAGAGGAGTTCTGGGTAGGCTGCCAACTGCCATTCTCACCTTTGGGAGGGGTATGCCAACATTCAGGTGCATTCTAGTCAAATCAGCCAAGATCTTTGAGTTGTTTACTTTAAATAATATATTTTTTATTTATTTCAGGGAGAGAGAGATAGACACAGCAATGATGAGAATCATTAATTAGCTGCCTCCAGCATGCCCCACTCTGGGGATTGAGCCTGCACCCCGGGCATGTACCTGACTGGGAATCAAACCATAACTTCCTGGTTCTTAGGTCGACACTCAACCACTGAGCCTTGCCGGCTGGGTCGAGTTTACTTTAAAACCTTTGAAATTAGTGATCCAAACTGAAGAAAGGCTTACTGTTTCTCCTGAAAGAATATGCCAAAAGCAGAGGAAGGGGTGTAGATCTTGGCTAGCGCTGGACATTGGGGCCAGGCCAGACCTCTTCCGTGAGCTCCAGACGTGCACATCCGGCTGACTGGTGAGCACATCTGCTGGAATGTCTCACGGGCACTTTAAATTCAGAGTGACCAAAAGCGACCCATCGCCCTCCCATCTCCTACTCCTGCTGGTCTAACAATTAACCAGGTTAATGAGAGGCTGGGGCTCTTAGAAGAAATAAAATTTAGTCAAATTGGTTTTCTTAGATGAGGTCAACTTGATTTTGTGTCTAGCTGTGTCACTCTCTTACCTAAGGGCTTTATAACTGCAAAATTGTATGTTTTCTCCAGTTAAATTTTTTTTCTGGCTCCTAGTCTGAGCTCACCTTGAGTAGCTTAAAGACGTACAAGGAATAGTTCTACTCCTCCTCCCCTTCCTTCTCTTTTGCCCAACCCCCCTTATTCCCTCTTTTTCCTTTCATAGCAGCAACCCCAAGGATCTTCATTAGGTAGGAATGCTGCATCTTCTGCCTCATTTATTGACAAATAACTGGGCTTTTGAGCCTTCCTGAGGATAACCGCCACTTTGGGGATAAAGCAAATTGGGTTCTGGCATGATGAGGGCAGTGGGTAGCTGGGGGTGTAACATCAGCTATTTTGTTAATGGGCAAGCCTGTCTGAAGAAAGCCTTCTAGTCAAACAAGATATTGGTTAAAAACACTGACTCTAAACCTATGCTATTAGAGTTTCACTCCTTGTTACAGTACTTATTAGCTCGTAACAGAGGTTTCTTAAGCTCTCTGTCTTTATAATTATATTATATTTTGTCATAAAGCACGGAAAAGTGGTAGTATTCACCTCAGTTTCTTGTGAGCATTAAATGGGTTAAGACATTTAAAAGTACTTCTTCTGCCCTAGCCAGTTTGCTCAGTGGATAGAGCATCAGCCTGCGGACTGAAGGGTCCCAGGTTTGATTCTGGTGAAGGGCATGCAACTGGGTGCAGCTTCCCTGGCCAGGGGTCAAGGGCATGTACCTCAGTTGCAGGCTCCTCCTCAGCCCGGGCCCTGGTTAGGGTTCATGCAGGAGGCAACCAATTGATGTGTTTCTCTCACATCACTATTTCTCTCTGTCTTTCCTTCTTTCTTCTACTCTCTCTAAAAATCAATGGAGAAATACCCTCAGGTAAGGATTAAAAATAATAATAAATAAATAAATAAATATAAAAGTACTTAGAACCATGTTTGGCACATAGTAAACAATAAATGTTTTAAAGTTTTAGTAATATTGATTTTGCTATTAATAGAATTTGAAACTCATCAGTGGGAATCAAGGTGACATTACCAATCACTCCTCGTTTTCCCTGGCAGTCTATTTCATAAAATGTCCCCACAGTAGATATTTCTTGAATTGGCCTTCTTGAAGTGTACCTTTTCACAGCTCTGAACTGGTTTGTTAACGGGAAGTGGACCATTCATTCCCTTTCTCATACTGACGTGTGACCAACTGTTTGCTATCTTCTACACCAGAGTTTATGATTCCTGAGGAAGGGATGGTCTCTTACTCATTGTTTTACCCTCAGTACCTAAAATAGGGCTCTCGAAATAGTATTGCTCAAACATGCCTTCAGTCTCACAGCTAGGAAACAAGGGCACCTCGATTTGAACCCAGGTAGTCTTCCCCCAGAGCCTATACTCTTGACCACTAAGCTAGGCTGTATCCTTACTCTGCAACCTTCCGCTTCGAAAGCGTTATTGGCAGTCAGTCTCTGTGGGGGTAGAGGGCGGGAAGAAACAGACCTGGATAATGTTCATCGAACTAAAATTAGATCATTGGTTAGGAAAAACTGAGACGCACCAAAGCAGTCTAGCTGAAAGCAAGGATTGTCTTCTGCATTTAACATATTTGCTAAATACATGGACAGTCAGAGCCGGTCACAGTTCTTTAGGAGACCAGTGAATCTGCAAAAGGAAAACTGTAACTTTGTCTTTCACTTTCTTGAATGTTAGCTATGCAGAGAGCTAAGTGAACCGACTCCCGTGGGTTTGTAACCATGGAAAGATGGCTGTGGTTTTGCCCCATCTTTGGCAGCTTTTTTTAGTCTTACTTAGAAGCATGCAAATACATTCTAGAGACTGCATTGCCTCAGGCAGAGACAGACCTAGGACAGACTTCCTAAGCTGGCATGTTGCCTGTGCTGACGGATAAAGGATATTCCTAGTGGGTCCTACCAAGATGAAGGTGTGTGGCTCGACTCCAACCTGGTTAGCACTATCTGCACTACCTGGGGTTTGGATAGTAGTGTCAAAACAGTTAGCTTATAGGTTCATAGGAAGGACTAGATCTAAGGTGAAATGGCAACAGAAGTAGTTATTTCTAAAGAATCCAAGGCAGTGGAGGAGGCCAGAGCTTCCTCTCCTTGCTGCCATCCCAGTGTCTGCCATGCCCCGGGCAGCGGGAGTGAGGTCTGCCTGGGAACTAGCCCTGAGGGAAGGACTCATTTCTAGTCTTAGCCCTAACCTTAGCTCTATACAAACACGCTCTCTCAAGTGTACATACTTGTCCTGTTAGTCCTTTGCATCACTGCCATCTTGTTTTTGTTCACTGACTAATGGTTCAGCCGATGCACCGGGGAATTCCCTGTAAGATGA